AACTTGAAAAGACAGTAATATAAATAAATAAATGAATTCATAGTACTAAAAGGCATCTTAGAGATCATCTAGTCTAACCATCTACCTAATACATTCATCTAGTGCAAACAAGGTCACTTTCTTCCTCAAAATCTCTGAACCAGCAAAACAAAAATGAGTAAAATATTTTCTTTCTTTCTTATCCTACCACTTAAAGCCCAATCTCTGCTTCTAGTTATGCTTCTCTTCTTCTCTACTACACATATTCTATGCCACTGCCGAACTAGGTAACAGCTATCCCCAAATATGTCCACATGCCCTTGCCTCATTTGTCTCCCTACCACAGATAGCACCATCTTCCACTTCCACTAGCTGAAATAGTCCCATAAATGGGATCGTGAATGGTTTTCTTTTCTGATTTACATTTCTATATGTAACAGAAATGGTAAATGATTAGCATTCCTGTGGTATCTTTGGTATTGAAGATACAATATAAAACACACAAAAGAACCAAGATATAACCAAATTATCTTCCCAAGTTCAGTTCAAATACCACTGGTTAATACCTAGATAGCTCTAATTCATCTCTGACCCATATTTCCCAAACTATCTCTCATTTGGCACATATAGACAGCCTATATACTACGTTTAAGAAAATCAACCCAGATAATTTTTGAAGTTATAAACTCTAGGCATGCTAGAAATGAAAAGTAACTTTCACATGAACGTAAGGTGCTTAGCTTTTCTCTCTGGGTAAAAACTCGCTTATTTTGTCTAAGAGCAAAACACCCATAATCCTTGCAAGAAGTATTTTGCTTGCAGTTATACTCAATATCGACTTAACTCTCACTTAAAAAAAAAAAAAGTTTATTTATTTATTTTGAAAGAAAGAGTGAGCACAAATGATTAGGGGCAGAGATGGAGGAAGGGAATCCCAAGCAGGCTCCGTGCTATTAGCGTGGAGCCCTATGCAGGGCTTGATCCCAAGAACTGTGAGATCATGACTTGAGCCAAAGTCAGATGCTTAACCAACTGAACCACCCAGGCACCCTTAGCTCTCATTTTTAAATGAGATAAAAAACGGGGTGCCTGGGTGGCTTAAGTCGGCTAAGTGTCCAACTCCTGATTTCAGCTCAGGTCATGATCTTGCGGTTTCACAGGTTCGAGTCCCCCATCAGGCTCTGCGCTGGCAGTGAGGAGGCTGCTTGGGATTCTCTCAGTCCTTCCCCTACTCGTTCTGTCTCAAAATAAATACTTAAATAAAAGTGTAACCAAGTCTTTCTAACTTCATTTGAAGTCACTCTTTGTTGGAATTCAATTCTAAAGTTAAGGCAAAAAACCTAAAAAAAAAAAAAAAAAAAAAAAAAAGAGCTGCACTGTTTTTTTCAAGGGAGCAATGCATTCAGCTAACAGGCCTCCCTTCTCTTCTGCAGCTAGTGTGTCCATGTGATTCAGTTTTTTCCAATGAAATACAGATGGAATTATTGTGTGATTTTCAAGAAGGATCCTTAAAAGGAAACTAGTAATATGCTTTTCTTTGCCTCTAAGAGGGGTAACTGGGTGACCGGGGAGACAGACTAAAGACGAAAAATTTGTAAACCTCTGTATCTTTTGAATGTTGAGACATGTAAATATCTTACTTATTCTTTTAAAAAACCACACATTAAAAGAAGACTATACTGGGGGCACCTGAGTGGCTCAGTCGGTTAAGCATCTGACTCTTGATTTCAGCTCAGGTCATGATCTTGTGGGTTTGTGGGATCGAGTCCCACAGTGGGCTCTGCACTGACAGTGCGGAGCCTGCTTGGGATTCTCTCTCTCCCTCTTTCTCTCTCTGTCCCTCCCCCCACCTTCTCTCGCTCTCAAAATAAATAAATAAAATATTTTTTTTAAAAAAGACTATAGCGGGGCGCCTGGGTGGCTCAGTCGGTTGAGCGTCCGACTTCGCTCAGGTCATGATCTCACGGTCCGTGAGTTCGAGCCCCGCATCAGGCTCTGTGCTGACAGCTCAGAGCCTGGAGCCTGCTTCAGATTCTGTGTCTCCCTCTCTCTCTGGCCCTCCCCCCGTTCATGCTCTGTCTCTCTCTGTCTCAAAAATAAATAAAAAATGTTAAAAAAAAATTTTTTTTAATTAAAAAAAAAAAAGACTATAGTGACTTTAAAAAACTTACAGGTGTAGTGAAGAAAACTGGCAATTTCAGTATTCAGAGTATCAGAAGAGTAGACATTCAACAAAACAGTATTTTCTAACTCAAGAAACCTATTTCATCCTTACAGGCTGGTGAAGGCATGCTCCAACATTTACTGATACCTCCCATTTGTTAAACTTTTTAAAATACTGTATCTCATTCAATCCTTATGATAACCACGTAAGGTAGGTTCTTTCACCTTTACTTTACAGATGAAAAAAACAATACTAAGTAAGAGGTATTAAAGAAGGTGCTCATAGTCACACAACTACTAAATGCAGAACTTAGATACAAGCCAAGTTGCTGCCTCTGAGACCAATGCTAAACCGACTACATGTAACACCAATGGGCCTTAGTCTTCTCAAATACTGGCTTAATGGATCTTCTACACAGTCCTAACCTATTGTATCACACTACAGTTCATTCTTTCCACATTTGTTTTGTGCTAGGCATTGTGCAATAAACAGTTCTCAAAAAAAAAAAAAAAAAAAAGAGCTATCAACTGGGGGAAAGATCCAGGGAGCACTCAACATATCTTACACCTCTTATCTGTTGCTACTTCTCTATATTCTCGTCATATCTGTATATTACTTAAAGGTCAAAGAATTTTCAGGGTTATGTGGTAATATGAAATCCCACCTCTAATAGGGGTGCCTGGGTAGCTTAGTTAAGTGTCTGACTCTTGATTTTGGCTCAGGTCATAATCTCACGGTTTCTGAGTCTGAGCCCCGTGTCAGGCTCTGCGCTGTCAGTGCAGAGCCTGTTTGGAATTCCTCTCTCTCTCCCTCTCTCTCTCTCTCTGTCTCTGCCCCTCCCAACTCTCTCACATGTGCTCTCTCTAAATAAACTTAAAAAAAATCTATGTCACACAAATCAATATTTAATTACTGCAAAACCATTAAAAAAGGAACCTTCAGACAATAATAACACATCAGAGTTTCTGATAAGAGCTTTTAAGAAATGGATGTCTACTTCCAGACATTAGAATTTAGCAGGTCTGGGCTGGGAAGTGGATATCTGATGCACTGCCCTGGTTAACATTGACTACAAGGGCTTAGACTCTGTATTTCAAATTTATGTAATAATCAGGAACTGCAACTTTTTCCTTTCTGAATGTAACTTCCTATCAAAATCACAAAAAAAAATCATATTCTTTTCTATTCCAAAAAAATATTTACTTAAAGTAATTAAAATCTTCAAACACAAATTGATGTTTAGGGGTGTTATCCAAAGAAGGATGATGTGTTAATTTATTAATTTGACAAATATTTATAAATCACCTATAAGGTGCTGTTCGTTTTAGGCACTGTCAACATACACAAAGGAAACAGACACCCATCCTGACATCAAGAACTTTTCAATCTAGTAATTACACAAATACAATCAGATTTTAGAAATCAAGCATCTTCATTGGTGCAAATAATTCTGAAAACAGATGGAAGGCTTAACACAAGACAATTTTCTACCTATCAAACAGTTCAAGGGATGGTACAGACTTAATAGTGTGGGGAAAGGTAGATGTAATATATAACAAAGATGTTCTTTTTTTTTTAATTTTTTTTTTTTGACGTTTTATTTATTTTTGAGACAGAGAGAGACAGAGCATGAATGGGGGAGGGTCAGAGAGAGAGGGAGGCACAGAATCTGAAACAGGCTCCAGGCTCTGAGCTGTCAGCACAGAGCCCGACACAGGGCTCAAACTCACGGACTGTGAGATCATGACCTGATCCGAAGTCGGGTGCTCAACCGACTGAGCCACCCAGGCGCCCCAAGGATGTTCTTTTCCTCTGCTTATCTCTAAACCACATGACTATTATTTCAAATAGTCCCCTGCACACAATTTTTATGATCAACCCAAAATACTTCTTAGAGCCACAAAAGGATCTTTGGCATTAAAGTAGCACAGTATGACCCATTCTAATGGTTAAAATTTCCCTTCTAAAAGATTGTTCAGGTGTAACTTTTAGGATAAATGAGAAAATTCTAAGATGTGCACCTGCATATGTTACTTAGTCATTACAAACATGCTAATCCTCAACGTTTACATTTTAAAGCTTTTGCAGCCAAAAGTACTCTACTCAATTCAAAAACTGACAGGCTTTAGTGAAGAAAAATAAACGAATGTGGGTGACCATCAACTTTAGAGGTCAACATTAAATTCTGCTCTTCAATTTCATCTCAGAATCCAAACTGATCCTGCAATAAGAAGAGCTACAGGAAACACAAGGGATTGTGTTTCCCTTTTAACTCCATCTTCCCCTTTTCCCAGCCTCCTATTCATTAGGACAGGGAAGCATCCTGATTTCAGACAAAAAGAACTGATAAAAATTAGATGAATACTATTAACAGAAACTCGTAATTAGGCACCTGGGACTTGTAAAGATGCATTCTGCCAAAATATTCTCTTATAATTCAGGTATCTCAAATGAATCTTATATGCTATGCTAGCACTTTTTTCTTTTTAATAGCTAATAATGTTTTTAAAATACCAGATTACACAGAAAACTATTTTCTTTGGCTGAGCCTGTTGGAAAGAGCCAGTTCTAATGTGTTGTAGATGCAACATTTCTATATAAAGAGTTACTTTAAAAAAAAATAGCATGAATTGGGGTGCCTGGGTGGCTCAATCAGTTAAGCATCGGACTCTTGATCTCGGCTCAGGTCTTGATCTGAGTCGTAAGTTCAAGCCCTGTATTGGGCTCTGCACCGGGTGTGAAGCATACTCATAAATAAACAAACAAACAAATAAATACATAATTGGATAAATAAATAGATAGATAGATGGATGGATGAATGGATGGATGGATTTGGGGGTGGGGGAGAGCTTCTCTGTACAGATGGCAAGTTTTCAGTGATGGGTGGTGGTGGTAGTGGTAATCAAAGCATTCCTAACACATGCTTCTGAAGGGTGAATCTGGCATAAAATTTGCTTGGAAGGGTCAGCATCAAATGCAAATCTGATAACAGATAACTTTCAAATCAACATAAGACCCAAATATCTTTGTTCCCCTAATATTATACAATGTTGGTGTATGTGAAGGGTTAAAAAGAGAGACCTCAGGGGGCGCCTGGGTGGCTCAGTCGGTTAAGCGGCCGACTTCGGCTCAGGTCATGATCTCACGGTCCGTGAGTTCGAGCCCCGCGTCGGGCTCTGTGCTTACAGCTTAGAGCCTGGAGCCTGTTTTGGATTCTGTGTCTCCCTCTCTCTGACCCTCCCCCATTCATGCTCTGTCTCTCTCTGTCTCAAAAATAAATAAACGTTGAAAAAAAAAATTAAAAAAAAAAAGAGACCTCAGGATAAAGCTCAAAGGTAAGCTTTATTCAATCTTGCCCCACAATGGGAGAATTTCCTCCAGTTCCTTGTGGTTTGTATTTGTTGGAGAGGGGAAGGCAATGAGGGAGGGTATACATTCTAATTTTTAAAATTCACTTAATGTTGTATTAAATTCACCCCCTCTCCAAATGTACAACCATTATCACTTTTCTTTAAGAATCCAGGTCTAAAAGCAAAACTGATAACCTCAAGGAACCAAGTTCCTTGAATAAAAAAGCATGATGAATTAAAAACATTAACTTTGGGGTGCTTGGGTGCCTCAATCAGTTGGGTGTCCAACTTCGACTCGGGTCATGATCTCATAGCCCGTGGGCTCGAGCCCCGCGTCAGGCTCTGTGCTGACAGCTCAGAGCCTGGAGCCTGCTTCAGATTCTGTGTCTCCCTCTGTCTCTGCCCCTCCCCCACTCATGCTCTGTCTCTCTCTCTCTCCTTCAAAAATAAACATTAAAATAAATTAAAATTTAAAAAAACATTAACTTTAACCAGAGAAACCTTTAGAAACAACTAGTTCTAACATTTGAATGTTTTTCTGTTTTCAACAGATTTTCAGAATATTTGACAAGAGTATATACTATGCTAATCTGCCAACCAGGTCTATGAGATACTGCAAACTAACTGAAGAATTAAGTGCCTGCAGATGCTACAATTGATACCAGTCCCATCCTGCTTCTCACGAAGTCTCTCCACTTCTTTAGTAACATGAACATACCCCTGCATTTGTAAGTGTGCTATGTTCCAATGATAACCACAATTTCCCCCCTAGCTAGGCTCAATGACAAATTTAAATTTAAATAATTACCTAAGATTGTCATAGTCCCAGCCTTGGGAGTGGAGGCAATCACTTTCAGAATCTAATGCAACTTAATGGAGCCTCTTCTTAAAAAGTCCCCTCCCCCACCCAACACACACACAAACATGCACAAAGTACTGCACACAATTTCAGGGATTCACAGATCTTCTGAAGCTGCTGTCTTAGTATAGTCATAGTATAATCCATAATATTGAGAAAACTGGATATCCACATGCAAAAAAAAATGAAGTTGGACCCTTATCTTATCCCATATACAAAAATTAACTCAAAATGTATTAAAACTCTAAATATAAGACCTGAAACTATGTAACTCCTAGAGGAAAACATAGGGGAAAAGCCTTATGATATTGGATTTGGCAATGATTTCTCAGAGGACACCAAAAGCACAGGTGACAAAAGTGAAAATAGACAAATGGGACAATATCAAACTTAAAACTGCACAGTAAAGGAAACAGTAGAGTAAAAGATTCAACCTACAAAATGGGAGAAAATATTTGCAAACCATATATCTGATAGGAGATTAATATCACAAATATATTTTAAAAATTCCTACAACTCAACTCAAAAAAATAACTTGATTAATGGGCAAAGGACTTGCATACACATTTCTCCAAAGAAGATATACAAATGGAAAACAAGCGTATGAAAAGATGCTCAATCAGTACCACTAATCATTCAGGAAATCCAAATCGAAACCTCAATGAGATATCACCTTACAGCACTAGGATGGCCACTATCAAAAAAACAAGTACTGGAGAGGATGTGGGCAAACTGGAGCCCTTGTGCACTGTTGCTGAGAATGTAAAATGGTACAGCCGCTATGGAAAACAGAATGGAGGTTCCTCAAAAAATTAAAAATAGAATTATCATATGATCCAGCAATCCCACTTTTTGGTATACATCTAAAAGAATTGAAAACAGGATCTCAAAGAGCTACTTGCACACTCATGTTCACTGAAGCATTATTCACAATAGCCAAGAGGTGGAAGCATCCATCCATCAACAGAATAGAGAGAAGATAAAAGGCGCCCCTATATAATTTCTTTTCTAATAACAGTAACATGAAGGGTGCGTGGGCGGCTCAGTCGGTTGAGCGTCTGACTTTGGCTCAGGTCATGATTTCACAGTTGACGAGTTCAAGCCCAGCATCGGGCTCTGTGCTGATAGATCAGAGCCTGGAGCCTGCTTCAGATTCTCTGTCTCCCTCTCTCTCTGCCCCTCCCCTGCTCTTGCTTGGTCTCTGTCTCAAAAATAAACAAACATTAAAAAAAAATTAAAAACTAATAACATGATCATACAATCCAGCTACCAAACTCCTTGGCATTTACTCAAATGAGCTGAAAACTTATGACCATACAAAAACCTCCACATGAATGCTTACCGAAACTTTATTCATAATTACCCAAACTGGGAAACAACCAATATGTCCTTCAATAGGTGAATAAATAAATAAAACTGTGATAAACCCCTACAAAGGAATATTATTCAGTACTAAAAAGAAATGAGCTGTCAAACCTCAAAACGATGAGGAAACTTAAATGCATATTACTAAGGGAAGAAAGTCAATATGAAAAAGCTGCATATTACATGAGTCCATCTACATGACATTAGGGTAAAGGCAAAACTATGGAGATAGTAAAAAGATCAGTGACTGTCAGTTTGGAGAGAGGGAGGGATGAACACGTGAGGCACAGAGATTTGGGGGGCAGTGAAACCATTCTGTATGATACTATTAGGTTGGATATGTCATTACACATTTGCCCAAACTCACAAAACGTACAACACAAACAGTGAACCCTAAACCATATAACTAAACCACAGTGAACCATATAAACCATGGACTCCGATGATAATGTGTCAGTGTTGGTTCATCAATTGTGACAAATGCTCCACACTGGTATGGGAAATGGATGGTGGAGAGACTGAAGGGGAAAGTGAAAGAAATAGTTGGGAACTCTGTACTTTCAACTTAATTTTGCTATGAATCTAAAACTGTTTTAAAAAATAAAATCCATTAACTTAAAAAAAATAGCATGCTCTATTTTATAATATAATCAAATATTTTATAGACATTTTTATTTCAGTGCTTGAAAAAAAAAGATATGTTATTTCAGGCAATCTTCCAACAGATATATTTTAACTTTCTTTATTAGATAAGTAATGATCTAAACTCCCATTCAGCTACCTTTACCAAAAATAATCACATGCCATTTCTAGAGGAAAAAAAAACAATAACATGCAAAAGCAGACTAAAGCAGTACTCTATTTCGTAATTTTAGGAGACTGAACAGAGGTATTAATTACATTAATAAGCTTCATTCAATGCCATTTATTTGCTTATTCTTTTCAGTTTTTAATAACAACATGCACTTCACAGTAGAATGAACACCTTTAAGAACTCTGTTCCATAAATCTGCTTGAGAAAGACTGGAATTTTCTGTGAATGTGTATTTGTTAAAAAGATAATCTTTCAAAACTCATAGGAAGGAAAGTCTGATAGTAATATAATGTAAGGCTATGATAAAACATGAATATCTAGAATTCATTTATCATCTCCAGTATGAGTGAAGAACACATCACTGACAAGAAGAAGCTTAGTTTCCAAACATTTTCTTATTAATTCCCTCCATATTAATGCAAGATTTAATATAATAGTATTCTCTGCATCAAACTGATCAAGATGACTGATCTTAATCTCTTGATTAATGTTTAAGATTAATTTACAGTGCCAGATGCCCAATAGACTTAGAAATTCTTATAATTTCAATATTCCAAGACAATTCTCCAGAATGACTTTTGTCCCCAAGGGCTGGCAAACAGAGGAACAAAAGGAAAGGAGGTTTGTATCTAGCATAAGAAGTACAAAGCAAAAAAAGGTTAAGAACTGGAGAAGAAAGGAAAGGGGACAAAGGTACTAAGAGAACGCATCAAGAAGAGGAAACAATTAAAAAAGAATTGGCATAACACAAACTATTAGATTAGTATAATTTTATGTGTATTTTTGACTGTAATTCTCAATCTTTCATGCTACTCTGTTACTTCAGAGGCAGAAGAAATAGGGGAACAAGCAAAATATGCAGTGGTGAGAGGAGTCCAGTTACCACTCTGGACTCAATTTGGTTAAGAGAAGACAAATGTTTGAGTAAAATGCGTGCACCAATAACAGTTAACCCTCTCCACCCCCCTTTCGTTCCTTCCACTATTTTATAAACTATAGATTCTCTGCATTTTATTCACGTAATTAACTCAACTTAAAATACATACACACAGATGTACAGAAATGAGGGCACTTTTCTACCTTTTCCATTCTCAGGCAACATGACATGAGAAAATCACCTTTTCTGTTAGAAAAGAATATAGCTCTCTCACATTATTTCAGCTGATCAGCAGTCATTAACTTTAAATTTTTTTTAATGTTTATTTATTTTTGAGAGACAGAGCACTAGTGGAGGAGGAGCAGAGAGAAAGGGAGACACAGAATCTAAAGCAGGCTCCAGGCTCTGAGCTGTCAGCACAGAGCCCAATGCAGGGCTCGAACTCATGAACCGTGAGATCATGATCTGAGCCAAAGTCAGATGCTCAATGGAGTGAACGACCTAGATGCCCTAATAGTAACTAACTTTAAAAGTCATTCAGGGGAGCCTGGGTGGCTCAGTCGGTTAAGCATCAGACTTTGGCTCAGGTCATGATCTCACATTTGTGGGTTCAAGCCCTGCATCGGGCTCCGTGTGGACAGCTCAGAGCCTGGAGCCTGCTTCAGACTGTGTGTCTCCCTCTCTCTCTGCTCCTCCCCTGCTTGCACTCTGTCTCTATTTGTCTCTCAAAAAACAAAATAAAACATTAAAAATAAAGAAAAATAAATAAAAGTCATTCAAATGTTTAATTATCATTATCACCTCTTTAAAAATCCAGTCTCTAAATCAGAAATAACTTGAAAGAGCTCACAATCCTTCTTAGGCCCCAAACACTAGAACCATCACAAATGGGTCGGCAAAACAAAATTCTCCTTTCCCCAAAACAACTCACCTCATTTAAGACACATATAAAGAAAGGAAAAAAATGGACTTTCTACTTTGCTACACAGAATTGGTTTCCATTTGCTGTTTTCACTACATTGCAAAAAGGTTTTAAAAGATGGATTTTATTTTCTAACAAAAAGATGGATTTCATTGTTGGGTGTTTTTAGCCTTTATATACCACCCCATTCCAAAACAAATGAGAGGTAGCTAAGAAAGAAACATACAGTATATGTTTTAAAAAATAACAGAAGAAATAAGCAGGAAGGGGAAAAATAGGTAGGAAAGTTCTGAAGTGAGGATGAGAGGGGCTGAAGGCGGTCTGTTTGCAAAATATAAGCTAAATTATTCTACATTCCTTAAGCAAGAAGGCTGTACAGCTGGTTATGAGCTTTACAGCAGCCAAAGCAATAGAGGAAAACTTAAGAATAGTTTCTGAGTTGAGGTATTTTCACTCAAATGCCCAATT